ATAATTAACCCAATAATAACATCATTCATAAGTAACTATGCATGAAGAACTCTCACAAGAACCTCTCTTAAGATCCACTTGTGCAATGCTTAGGTAATGTCCCATACCATCACCTACACTAAGTAGTATCCTTCAAGAAGCCTCAGTTAGAATTTATGCTCTTATCTTTTTTCATATTTTAAACACTCGGGAAACTTTTCCATTACCAACATAGACCATGTCAGCTACATGCAATCCGATGTTTACCTCCCATACCGAAAAGATAGTGTCCTACTTTCCAAGGTAGGACATACATTCATGGTAGCGTCTAAGTGGATCCATTTGATACAACTTATGTGGACTTTATTGTTAAGGGATATGAAGATTGTTACTAGAAACTTTATGCATATAAGCATATGGGTTTCCATATCATAAGACCATCGGAGGATACTTCCCTCCTTTGGGAAGAGACCCCTCTCACGCATATCCTCTCGGTGCTAAGCATAATTTCCTTTTTTAGGTAGTCTTTAGTCTTTAATTGGATATGGGACTAGGGATCACCCTCTCAGGATGAGCCTCAGGTTTTCATACTCCTTAGGATATCAATTTAGCGGTCTTGGTTTCACGACTTTTCCCTCGACCAAGCCAAAAACACATGAGTGATTTTGTATATGTAACTACAAACCCATTAAATTAAACCACAACCACTAGGTGAAATCACCATTAAAATGCATCTAATCTTACAAGCAATCAAGACCCAATAATATCAACATATATTTGCTAAATCACACACCAAGAATGAGGGGTTTTAGCCACACATCAAACACTAATCAAATATACCTAAAATTATAAAGAAATCAAATGGGTATAAGAAATTAAACTTTAATATGATCAAAGAAATAAGAATGGAGAAGACCCACTTCCAAATTGAGGAAAAAGAACTTCTTTCTTCAAGTCTCCCATAAAACCCTCTCCAAAATTGAGAGAAAAATACAAAAATTGAAGTTCTAAAAGTGAAAATTGATAATAATTTTTGGAATCCCAAAAATAATAAAGAGTTTAATATTTATAAACTTCAGATTAAGTGCTGGTGAATCCGTTCAGCAACTTTAGTCATGAATCATCGTGTGATTTGGTGTTTCGTCCTTCTTCTAATTCATTATCGTTCGTGATTTGCCTTCATTGTCTGTGTTTATTGTGACATTGGGTGGAATGAATCTGCTTCGAGGAACTATTCGGCGAAGCGCGCTTTCTCCTTATCATTGCCTTTTGAATCCACATATTTTAGGGTATCGCGTGTTGGAACAAGGGCGAAATGCAACCCTTCGGCGGATTGCCAAGTGTTCTTGGCGATGCTCAAGCTTCAACTTAAGATCTCTCATCCTTTTTGTTCCTGTTTTGCGTCTAAGTGTTCATGCTTACACTATAACTCCAAATACCTAATACTTAAGAGTTTTCATCAGATATTGAGATAAAATGAACAATTGAGGACACTAGTTACATTAAAATAAAGCCAAAAATGAGTCCAATTTGAGGAATCATCAACACCCTCAAATTAAAATTTTTCTTGTCCTCAAGCAAAAATTAAGTGCATTAGTTCAAATAGGATATCTAAAATAGTGCTACACAAGACTCAATCATAAACATACACAACAAGACTCAAATTACTCATGAATAGCTCAATTATATACTCAAAGATTAAAGTTGTGACATACCATTACCAATGATTCTCATGCTCTCAGTACATGCTACTTATGTATGTTCAGGCTCCACAAAAGTATCTAAATGCCCTCACACAGAGAATGATTACATATTACACACAAAGAATAATTAATTTAAGATCAGGAATCGTATGCAACGCTCACGCTCACTAAGAGGAACACAATGCATGTTTTCACCCATAGGTTTGCCCTTATTTTCCAATTGATCTTCGGTTCGGTTTACTCAAGATCACAAAAGTCTTTCTTAAGCTTTTAATGGGGTTGATTGCAAAGGTATGGTCATTTAGGCTCAATGATTTTTTCCTCATGAGATGTGGTATTCTCCAGATATCCCTGTCTTGAACTTTATCAAATTATTTTCAAGTGCTTCTAGGTCAAACGACGGGGTTCATCGGGGTCGCCAATCTAGTGGGCATTCGCCGAGAATTTCTTGAGCTCGTCGAGTTATACAAACTCCAGGTTTTGAAGATACATCGAGTCAAATGGGGGAAAAGAATTAATTGTTGTCGTCTTAGGATATTCACCAATTGGTTTGATGCTTTCCACTATGTACATTGTTAGCACTTACCACACTTCAATCTGCAAGACTAACACACTATTATTTTACCGATACGAAATTAAAAACAAAACAAAGGGGTTTTGGGTTGTCTACAAAATAGCGCATGAGTTAAGGTTGAGGCATAACGCAAGTCAACACTTATTCTTCGTCCTCAGGTTCGCCTATGGTGTACTTAGGTGAGCCTCCCGCAAAATGGTGGATGACAACCTCGTATTAAATCATCGATTTGATCATCTTGATGCTGAATGTTAATAGCAGTTGTGGTTTTGTTTCATAAAACATTTCTATGTTTGCTTTCTGTTTATTCAACATTTTATCTTGTGCTTTAAGTCTTTGTCCATTGATTGATAGAGTTTCATCATTCTGGTCACACTCATGTGTCTTCTCATTTCTGCATTTTCACAGACTGAATGATGGCCCTTTTCCTTGGCTTGTGCTTCCAGCGCCTCGGCTTGCTTGGATAGGACGTCTACTTGGGCTACGAGTGAGTCCGGCTCGTGTTTTTCTTGATTTTATTTATAGGTTCTAGCCATGTCATCAAATTTTTGGTCTACCACTTCATAGGGGTGAAGTAGTATGCCACCTGTGAATGTCTTGCAGGTCATCCCATGAGATGGTCATGATGCTAACACTTTTGAAATTTTAACCACATTTCCTCAAGAGTCTCATCCCCTACTTGATTAAAAGTCAAGAGGTTGTCCCTGAGGTTAGAAGTTTCAAGAGGGGATGATCCGTGTGAAGTCCGTAGTGGCTTTCTCTTTTGGGAAATGGGTTCTGTGATATTGAGTATATTAAGTTATTTTAATATTTTCCCCGTTAATGTTACCATATTGGAATGTGACATTTGATCCAATAATATGGTGTTGGCTCATTGGACCCGATCCAAACATCATGTGTCGTCTCATGGCATCTGAGCCAAATATATTATGTCAGCTTGTTGCACCTGATCTAACAATATAGTTAATTCATCAGTCTTTATCTTCACTTTTCACTTCATTAACAATATTTCATCAAGCCTTATTTATTCAAGAAATCACTTTGATATAACAAGTTTAAGATTATGATTTCGCGGTGTTGGGATTACAGACCAATCACAACAACATGTAAATCATCCAAACCACAACAATTAAGTGCATAGAATATTTAACGACATAACTCAACGACTATCAATCACTATTAAGAGTCTCTATATCAGATAGAATAAGTCATAACCTACCTCCACCAAAGAACTCAACTCAATCAAGCTAATTTCTCAATGTTTTTCCTTTCGTCAATGCTTCAAAACGTTTCCAATGTATTAAGTACGCATAATATATAATTTAATGAGACTAAAGACACTTTTATTACTATATGTGTAGCCTAGACTCAAAAACTCAACCAAAACCTATAATAGATTCCTAAAGTTCAAGCCTAAGGTTAAGTCTCAGTTCCTTCAATTATCATAACTTTAATGGTATTCAAATAACACAATACACCTAACATTTAATTACCTATCCAATATATCAAAACTTAGCTTATAATATGAGATTAAATGTTTTGGAATTTGTTACGAAATCAGTGGCAGCAAACCATGAACCCAACTCAATTCTTATTTAACTATAATGATTAACTTTTACCTGAAGTCATCGTCCTCCTTCAAGGTTACGTTAGCTTTATGTTATAGTCCTTTTCTCTCTTCTCTTTTCTAAATAACATAATTGTGTGTTAGAAGTGACAAACTCCAATAATTTATCTTAAATAAGTATGGGTCAATACTAAGGTTATTTAATAAATTATTAACTTGCATCATTAACCATCAACTAAATAAGTTATTTTACATGACTCATCAATTAAATAATGATAGTTAACACATGGTCCAAAATATCCATTTAGAATGTAGCAGAAGTGTATTTTATAAAAGAAAATGATCTAATGTTTGAAACAGCCTATTGGGTTATTACAATAACTTTATTGTCAACCATCAATTCCACGGTCACTTCTACTCCACTAGAAAATGCATTTTATTATTTTAAGAAAAATATTCATAGTTCAATTTTAGTTGTTCTATAGAGCTTTTTCTTCTTTCTAACCGATGATTTTTGGTTTTTATAAAATCATACATCAACTAGTACATTTTTTGTTGCATTTTCATCTTACATTTCTTCAATTGTTATTATCTTGTACTATAACAAATTGCTTACATGAATAATCTTCATTTCAACTACTATTCATCGCCTTCTTCATTTCGTCAAAATTTTGAGGGGCAAAGAGAAGTCACGAGAATTTTTTCCGAATTCATCAATCAAGTTCTATACGAATTGGATCAACTTCAACGTAAAGTGAAATTATTTCTACATGAAAAAAATTGACATTCTCTTTGGGACAAAAATTAAAATGTGTCACTTAAATTTGAAAGGAGAGTTAAATAGTTTCAAAAATATATTCTTAGATTAACTAACACTTGGTTCTTCAAGTTATAAATATATCTATTTTTCATCCATCAATTCCACGGCCACTTCTACTCCAGTAGAAATTTCTTTTTCTCTATCAAGAAAAAAATAATTCAAAGTTCTATTTCAGTTGTTTTAAAGAGTGTTCTTCTTTCTAACTATTGATTTTTTTTATTTGTGTAAAACATACATTAATCATTACATTTTTTATTACATTTTCATCCTACACTTTTATAATTGTATCACCACTAAATTATAACAAATAACTTGCACGTGAATAATCGCCATTTCAACAGCTATTCATTGTGTTATCAATTGCATCAACATTTTGGGGGCAGAGAGAAGTCATGAAAAAATTTAATGAATTCATCGATCAAGTTCTATACGAATTGGATGAACTTTGTTAACCGTAGGTAAACTAACAAAATAAAAAGGTTCTCATATCTTTGTATTCATGATTCAACTTCTTGCCCCTCTACACGCTAAGGAGAAAAAAACATGTTGTCGCGATCCTAGACAATATAAATATTTACCTCCGAAATATAAATTTGCATGTACCTAAGAGGTGATTAGTATACTATTACTTGTGAATGACAAATCAACCAAGCATTTTTTTCCTAAATGTCTTGTGTATCCTAATGATGTGACCTCACATTTTTTCTAAAATGGATGACCACATCCAACAATAGAATTTCTAAGGAGTTCTCTTGGATCTGGAGGTTGGAGGTATCAATTAGATTAAAATCTTCATCTGTCTATTCTCTCATGGCTGATTACCGTTCCGGCCAACCTATTTGCAAGTTCAGTAAAAATGGAGTTGAAATCATTGATCACAACTTCTTTCAATGTCAGAGAGCCAACACCTTCTGGAGAAATATGGCTAAAGCAACAAATATATTGTTGTAATTGATTCAACAATGGTCAACTGGAAAAGCACCTAGGAGGCTAGCAAGGGCATGGAATTCAACAACGGGATCTCATGGGAAATGATCACACCCTTTTGCCTTTGGGGACTTTGGATTAAAAAAAATGACAACATTTTCAACGATAAGAACTACCACGTCCAAATAGATCACATCATTGCACAAACCACTGAATTCAAGCTCATCGTAGCCAAAAGCAATAGGACTAAAACCATTAGAATGGATGTCCAAGTCAAAAGGATCTTTCCATCCCAAGGTATGCTAAAGCTCAATGTCGATGGTGCATGTACCTTAATGCCCGCCCGAGAAAGGGTGTATTTAGGGATCACACTAGTAAATATGTGAAAGGATTTACCTAAGCTTGTGCTCACACGACCATAACTCAGGCAGAACTCTTAGCCATTCTTCATGGACTAAGGAAAGCTGATACTGAAAAGATCACCCCTCTGGAAATCAACTTTGATTCGATCCAAGCTATTTATATGCTTATTAATGATCACCTTTATTTTAATAATAATATCATTACTGAATGCTGAAAGTGGTCCAAGTAACCATATGCAACATGTTCTGGGAGGAGAACAGAGTGGTAAATCTGCTGACGAAGGAAGGTGCTAAACCCCCCACTTTTGTTAACATATTCCACCACTATATGTGCATACATTAGGAACTAGCTTTGCTTGTAGATACCAATCATATTATGAACAATAATGGCCTTAAGTATTGTACCAGAACAAAGGCAAAGTCTAAATCCTGTACCAGCTTGAGTTATATGTATAATATATCCTTCTTGTAAAGATACAATTCCAATAAAACTATATCTTTGTTGCTTAACTTTACAGGGGCATACTACAATTGTGTAACGATGGCAACAAAGATCACAAGTATTTACACAGAGGTCAAACATACAAGCAATCTCTGGCACATTTTCCTTACATCCAATGGAAGATCTGAAGAGCATATCTCTTGAAGCTATGTTCTGGCTTCCACAAGCCCACCAGAAATTTTCTGTAAGACTGCCTCTTCACTTGCCATTAAAGATGCTAGTAACTTGGCACCAGCAATCCTCTCCTGGTCGGAATTAAACAAAAACACATTAACCACGAGTATGAAATTAATTCTCACAACGTGCTTCCAAATAATACTAGGATTCACTTCTTTATAGGCGATAGAAGCAGCAGGCAAATCCTCATGATCAGACCCAAATGAAAAAAACGAGCAGCAGCATGCACAATAATGAAAAGGAAAAAGGAAACCAGAGAGAAAGTTACGCCCAATGGCAAATTTAGCAGATAATAGCTTGTGATGGCCCTTTTTTACCACATCAATAAAATTTGATAGTGACAGGTTTTGGTTCCACAGGGTGATGCAATGGAATGAAGACACTAGGTGGACGCTGACCAAACACATTACCACCACAAAAGCACCAAGACTGTTTGTGGTCAAGGAGAGAACCTTAAACAGGGCCAGACGATTAGATGCTTTATACAAACTTGACCCTCCATTTCCAAGGAAGAGCATATATTTCAAAAGTAAAGCCTGTTTTATTTTAGAAAGGGATACATAATTTAATAGTCCCTCCATCCACTATTGTTTGTCATGATTTCTACTTTTAGAGTCAAACTATGAGAACTTTGACTAACATTTTAACATGTATTTTTCCATCATATTGATATGCAAAAAATTGCAATTTGTAGTACTTTTCATATAATTTTTGAATATCAATTTTTTTTTATAAAAAATATCGATTTAATGTACTTTAATTTAACTCGGAGGGAGTAGTTGTGAGTAGTAAATTCAATCTGAAACAATTCAGGAGATGAAATACTTGATGTCCATTCTAACACAAGAACAATATTTTCACGCAAGTTGGAGCCTAATGCTTCAATAAAACTTCCATATTGCATGGAATTTATGCCATTGGTCACTACATGGACGTACTTGTGCATGTGGAAGCACCAGAGAAAGTAGGTCTCTGTAAGCATAAGGTAAGAGGGATATAGTGGTTCAAGTACATAGAGCAATGATAAAAAGCACAGCCAAAGGTTCAAGATCAAACAAGGATAATTATAAAGCAGTGACTTTAAAAATACCTTCTCCGATCCTTCTCTAGGTGACTTTATGGAAACCTTGAGAAGATCAGAAGAGTAAGGAAGAACTAGAGATTTTAGATGGTACAACATTGAGAAAAATACTTGGATACATGCAGACCTCACTTCTGAATTTGCAATTTCCTGGAAAAATTGCAAGGATTAGAGACCAATTACATCTGCCACTATTAAGCAAACAGTAGGTGATTACCAGAACAGGTCGAATAATGATGATAATTAATGAAATGAAATAGGTGAAAAATACACAAGTGTAGAACACCTCGACACAATGAAGGACACGTGGAAGAATTTTTGAAACAAATGGTTTCTTGCTAGCAGAAGGAACCTTTTGACAAGCAGTAATCAGCACATTTGCCATGCGCAACCGAAAAGATTGGTGGGCTTTTACCACCTCATTTCTACCCAACATAACAGAAATATCTTCATCACAAACCAAGTGGTGGATCACGTAACTACAGACTGAGTCTTTTGTGAGAGAATCGCCTGCAAATGATCCACAACAGCCTCCTAGCAATCAAGAAGCAAAAGGTTGTTTGCGTAAGCTTAAAGAAAGTTACCAACCTGAAGAGACGATGCTCTGCTCAAAACAAACCTCAATCGATATTGAGTTCTTGACAGCTTTTGTAGCTTGCAATTCAGTGCACAGAATCAATGGTAAACAGTCGATGCACCCATGTTGTGCCTTTGAAACTGAAGAAAAGAAAATTTACCATGATGACAATTATTAAAACATGAGATGTAGTGTAGAAAAACATCAGTTACTTACTATCATCCCCATCTACTGAAGGCCATAATAAAATAGTCTCTATTGCTTGGTGAATCCAGAACATGTCGGGATGCGCATATGCATCTGTGCCATTTACCTATGACCAGAATGTTTGATGGACTATTAGGATTAGGACCCAAGAAGATAAGATTATCTAGTTAACAAGAGAGGAACCAAGACAAACTTGAAAGTTCAACGCACATATCCAAAACTATGTAACTGTCCTAAGAAAGATTATTACCAAGAGAGATATGCAAATTGAAAATAGACAAGCTTTTATCTTCAACAAATCCTTGACGCAAGTGGCGTTTTTCAGTTGATAGGACATTATTGGAATTAGAACCTGCAGAATACAAAGGCAGCAAATGTTGATGCTAAATATTGCAGAATTGGCGCGCGCGGGGAGAGGGGGGGGGGGAGGGGACACAGTCCATATGAGGACTTAGAACAGTTAATGCATACAACCAACACTTAAGCCAGCGACAATCTTCCTGCTATAGCTGTATAAAAGTTATGATGTTTTTTTTCTGGGTAATAAATTATGCAATGTTACCTCTAACCAACAAAAAGAGTTCAATAAAACTACAGAGCATTCAGATCAGAACCACAAATATCTTCTAGGAAAGTTGTTGCAGCCACTGAACCTCCAAACAGAAATAACGACTTATCAGACTATGTAATTTGTGTATCAAGTATTGACATTTTCTTGCCCTCTCTGAACTTTGTACAGAATCTATATTCTATCGTCTCCCTAATTTCCCATTGTATTTGTGTTATAGCAAAATTTGTATTTACAAATGACTGAATGAGTTTCTTAGAAGTCTCCAGTTCCTAGCTTGCCAGGTACAGTAGATCATTGTACCCCATTTAACAGCCACTACCTCAAACTTTTTCCACTTTCTGCTCATATTGCATTTCAGACTTTGTGTTGCATCTGTCTTCAGCATATGCATAACAGCCAAGTCTCCAAGGCATTTCTAATTTCTAACTTCAGAGATCCAACTACAATCAGTGAACAGGTGAGAATGTGTTTCTGTAGCATCTTCATCACAAAAGCAGCATTTACATCTAAAATTGGATGTGCAGTTTGTGTAGCCTTTTCTCAGTCAATAACTTATCTTGATATGCTAACCACACTATAACACTTTGTATAGGCAACATCACTGAGCTCCACACCAGATCAACCTCCTTCAATTTAGTGAGAACTACCTGCATAACTAAGTAACTACCAGGCACTGAATAATTCACGTTAGGAGATCGGAATGTATTTTCCACAGTGGTACCCGCTAAGCCTCAGCTCATCCATAGAGTTCATTTCTTACAGTATCAAGTATCAACAGCAATCCTGTGGTGGTTTATGGTCCAAAATATCTCTAGTATCTTTCATAGAGACCTCATTTACCTATTTACCCATAAAACGTTTTTCTTACAGTCCAGTTGTCATAATAGTTTTCCCACTGAAGATATGCTCCATTTCCTGCGGGCTTTTTATGTTAAGTCACCCATATTTTTTCGGGGACGCAGACCTGTCCCATGAGACCAATGCCAGTTTCCACCTTTCCTTGGAGCTTCCCCTTATGAAGTCTCTAGTTTTTTGTCCACTTCTTTTAGCACACTCTGGGGCAAGATAAACTCAGCACCTCAATGCTGTATAATTTTACCCTTACAGTGTGTGCCAACTATTGGCATCTCATACTTGTCAAAAATGCTTCAACGAGTCAAAGCTAGTTTTTCCACATTCAACAATTTAAGCGGCCAAAGCAACTTTGAAGAAAGAACAAACATGTAAAGCCACACTCTAGAGGTGTAAAAGAGTGCAGCATTTCTAGGTAATTTAGTCCCCATATCATATTTGTCTCTGCAATATATATGGGTTAAACAAGGAGCAAAACACATACCTTAGGGTGAATTCTCCCACACAGCTCAGCTGCAAGTCTACGAACATCTTCAAATTCAAACTTGCTCAATGCCCTGAAACAAAGAGCACAATGGAGTAATCAGATGATGAAATTTTATAACATGGTAATTCACAAACCAGAAAATTAACTTCTGGAAGAACCTGTTAATAAGAAGTCCTGCCACACATTCTGTGCTTTGAGTTCCCAATCATTCATCATCTGGAGGTAATCTCTAGTGAATTTTGCGGAGATCTTTTATTTTATTTTATTTGGGAAGGGGGGGGGGGGTTGTTTTCCAGTAATGTGGGTGGGATATCAAAATGGATGATGGTTAGAATATAACAAAACAGGTTACAACTAAAAGCAACAGAGTGTACCATGTGCTCGTTTGGTTGGAAGTTCATCATACAAAGCAGATGAGTTAAGATCATTGAATACTTGCAATGGAAGCAACCTCACTACAAGCAATGGGCAGAGACGATTAGAAAGATCGATCTGTCCTTCTGGAGCATCATAGTCCGGATACACACCCTCATCAGGACTGCTGGACATGGAGTCAAAATGATCAACTCTACATCAGTAAGCTTAGAAAATAAAATTCCAAAGAATATAAACATATTTATTATTGCAGTGAGCATTCTAGTCCTACTCCAAACAAAATATCTTGCATGCTCACTGCACACAGTCTACAAACTTGGTAAGCAAATGAAACAAAACTGTAAGAAGAAACTGGCATTTCATTCAACATTAGGCAAGTGCAGATAAGGCTTACATTACGAAGTTGTACCTTATCCACCTTCATTAAACAAAAGCCATTTACACAGAGCACTGCACAAAGTACTTTCACTAGCTAACAATCCAAAATCTACATTAAGGAATCAACTTCATCTATGTCTCAGAATAACCTTCTATCACTTAAAAGCTAAAGATTTTATAGACAATCCTATTAATTAACATCAATTACACTTTATACATGTAAATATTATACATGTATTCATATGATTATTTGAGATTATTACCCCCTCACTCCTTCAAAAGTCATTCAAATTCGATATTACACAAATAGAAACTTCCTTATTTATATTTTGGAATAAAATCTATGTCTAGATAATATTCAGAATTTCCCAAGAATACGAAAAGTTTATTTATAAGTTTTAGACAACTTGAAAGGGAAGTACGGTAGTAACTCGTCTTTTCCACTATTATAGTAATTATTTTATGTATTAAAAGAATAATACTATGTACTAACATACTGTATTCCTGTATATGTGACTCTTCCGCAACCAAATTACTGAACTATCACACTCATCGGTCAAAATTAAGAATTACTATTGTCCTCATCAAAAAACAACAACTACTACACATCAATCCCAAACTACTTGGATTTGTTTAAGTAACAATCTTAGAAGAAGCACTCTTATATGTGAGAAGACGAGAGTTTGAGAGAGAAATCTGCTTAATTATTCCCCCAAACTATTGGGGTTTAAATAGTTAAGTATAATTGTCCTAAAAGGAAAGGAAATCAATCCAAATCAATACTTAATCAATATAAATCGATACCGAATTTAAATAGGAGTAAATCTTAGAGTAAATCAAGCTACCTACTATACTAACATATATGCTATAGAATATTCCTAGGATTCTAACACTCCCCTTTAAGTTGGTGCATACAAATTATATGTACCAAGCTTGTTACATATATAACTTGTTTTGGGAGTGGCGAAGGACTAGCTGAATACGTCTGCAAGTTGATCACTTGACTGCACGAACCTAGCGATGATGTCTATTGAGAGTTTGGTGCTCCCGTGAG